TGAACTACGTTCAAAGGACGGACCCCAAGAAACTTATAAAACAGTTTGTGATACAGTTATAGACAATATTAATAATAAGTATGTTGTCTTTGAAGACATTTAAATGGTTGCATGTCCCAGAAATACCAAACAAGTAAAAATTTTTAAATACAATGAATTAAATAAACTAGCTGTATCAAGGGATGAAATTTATAGTTTATTAGAATTACCTAGACAAGATTTTGAAAATGTTATTCGTGTAATTTAAATGTACCCTGAAAGTAATGTTATTTTTAGTGAACCATCTTGTATAGAATTGGCTAATGATTTATTAAAATGCAGCTATATAAACCAAAATATTTCACAGCTTGTGTCCTATAATACAACATTTAATTTGGGAAATTTTTATGTCTCTATTTTAGTTATGTGTAATACACACATTGTAGGAGATCCTATATTTCCAGTGCTTTTTATGGTTCATGAAAAAAGCTATTGCAAACTCACGAACTTTTTTGGGGAAGTTTTATTAAGAAACTCATTCATTTAGATAAATATGGGCTTAATATCCCTATTATAACTGACAGAGAAAATAGTATTGTTTCTGCAATTTTAAAACCAATTGATATTGCAGAAATTAAATTGATATTTAGTTATAACCACTTGATMCAAGATATAAAACATTGGTTAAAATCTAATAATACTACCCAAGATGATATGAAAATATATACTCATGAAATAAAATATTTATTAAATACTAAAAATGAAAATGAATTTGAAAACAAATTAAATAATTACAAACTGAAATGGTCTCAACCATTTTTAAAATATTTTGAGAAAAATATTGAGTTTGATTTAAAAAAATCAGATGTACAGCTTTTAAAACAGATAAATTTGCAGAATTTTTCAATAAAACTCGAACCAATAAAACAAAGAGTGCTTGAATAAAATGGTAAAACAGTGGAACGACTGGAAGAATTGCCATTAGATGCATTAGTTCTCTCATTATATAAAATGCAAATATTTTATGTAAAAGAATTAAATTACTGTTACAGGAACATGGAAGATTACCAACTTAGAGAAGAATATCAAAATAAAGTTAATGACGTAAATATTCCTACTTAAAGTATTCTAGACATTACAGAAAGTGTAAAGAACATTAAATGAAACAGAATTGAACCTAAATCAATTATTGAAAAATAACCTACTTATAGAATAACATAAATATCAATGGGTAACTATATATTGGAAAATAAGTTAATTGATTTTTCACCTCATTTGCAGGTATATATTGTACGTAATGCTTTTTCTAATAAGACACATGTTGTGAGTAAAATTGTTAAGAAATTTCAACGCACGTGCAGTAGTAAAAGTACAGGAGATTGTTACCAAATTTTTATCTATCAAAACTCAGACATCATAAAGTGTTTAAATTATCAGTTAAAAAAAAAATTGAGGGAGAAAAGTTCCTATACCAGGTGACATCGATGTGGACAAAGTCATTAGGGCGGATGATTCATTGAAAGCTGATAAATTACTTTTAAAATCTTCACAAAATTAGAAAATATTTTGATAAAACAACAGTGTCAAAGACTACAGCTAAGATTATAAAAGTAGCAGTAAGTCAAAGTATAAATGATATTAAAAATATTGATACTGAATTAAAAGTAGTAGAATTGCAAAAGTTTATACTAAATCCTTTAACTTTGTCAAATGATTTTAAAACTTTATTGCCTAGTGAGTGGATAAGTTCATTTATAATTGATGATGTGATCAGCTATTTAATTATTAATTATGAAAAAGATAAGTCTATTCTGTGTATCCCTTCTGATATAATATATCAAAATGTTTATGCTATGCAAGATAATACTAATATTTTACAAAATTTCTAGACACTGATATTTTAAAAATGGATTTAATTTTCATAATCATAAATACACATTTAAGAGAACATTGGATTTTAGGTATAATTCATTTAAAACTTCAAATGATAATTATTTTGGATTCGCTTCTTTTTCTGTATGAAAGAAAAGACCGTTTTCTTCGCTTACTTCTAATTTATTTATTTATTTTTATTTATTTATACTAGAATACTTCAAACTATTGCTACAAAACAAATTTAAAATTTGACTTGAGTGAATGGAAATGTGTGTATGCTAATGATTCAATATAGCAAATCAACATGTTTGATTGTGGTTTGTATGTATGTTTAGATGCATTTTGTTACATTACTGATACATATTTCTTTAACACACCTTCAAATGATGGTAGAGAATGGCTCTATTTTAATTCTAAAAAATATTCAGAATTAAACAATAAGAAATGAATACAAGATCATACATATTTCAAAAAATATGAAACCAGACTTTTGAATTTCATAACAACATTTAAAAAAATAATAAACGACTAAATAGATGACTTTTTTTACAATTCATTTCATTCCAATTCAGCCTTTTATTAACTATTAAATCAAAAACAAAATAGGGTAAATTAATACATATTATATGATACTGTACTATTTTTAGTTTTTACTGTTTAAGATTGTTTTAATGAAATTTTGATTTATTATATTATACTGATCTTTAGATATAAACGAAGYGAGGAYATATAAGTGACATAGCAATATGGACAGACACTCAGTYAAAAACTTTAGAAAATCTTAAATCTCTTTTAACCTGAAAAAAGAGACTAAAAAGTAAAACTGTAGACTTACGACATAAAAATTAACAATTGAAAAGTTGTATTATACAAAAAATGTGAATTTATGTCCTAAAATTCAGTGCTTAAAACACCACTAAACATAAACATATGTTCAATTGCAAACCTTCCTTAAAGTCAAATCTAGGCAGAAAAGTTAAATGAGACCTCAATAGATGTGATAAGCCAGTAGCCAAATTTTATAGGAAAAACCAACAAACGGAATTTGTATTAAAAACATGCAATTCACTTAAAACACATCAATAAATTTAACAACTAAAATTATACCGTTTTACTTGCTACATGGATCTAATCTAAAACCATATGTCACAACATTTTAGAAACACAGTAAACCCCCCTCAAGGTTACAGAAATTAGAATAATTAAAAAATATTAGTGAACAACTCTCGAAATTATTAGTTGTAAATTACACAGAAAATACAAAACCATGTAATCAGTGTTATCAGATGTATCATCTTGTTTTATCATTTGTTCAGTGTTTCTCGTCAACTCAAATCCAACATTAGGTTAAAGAGAAGTCGATTGTACAATTTCAGGTGCAGGGCTAGATGGTGGAGATGACAAGTCAATGTCATCAATGACTGTAGAATTCCTCAATAAGTTRCGTTGATGATTGTTGATTCTTTGACGACGGTTATGACTACGTACAGATTTGTCAAAATGTATCTGCTGAATTGGAGGAGTATTAATTATTTGTTGTTGTCCTTGTTGTATTTGGCATTGCTGAAAATGAGTGTTCAAATTTAACACAAATAAAATCATGATTATTATTTATAATACTATTAATTTAGTTTATACCAAACCTACATTACATTTAGTCTACAAGAATATGTTAATAGATACCTAATATAATTAAAATCATTGTTAAATTGGTTAGCTTACTAACTGAAGAATCGAAATAATATTGTTATAGTTGTTAGTCTTAAATAAATATAAAACAATTATTTCTTATATATATATATCATATATAATAGTCATAGGCGTGCGCACAGGGGTGGGCCGCGGCCCCCTCTGCGGCCTCTGGCTTTTTCTTTAATAAATGCATAGATATGTATATTATACTAGACAGCGAAATTTTTAGATTTTACAAAAAAAAAAAGTGAAGCCAGTTTTTTAATCTAATAGTATAAATAAAATATAAATGTGATTAAGTTATTATTTTATTAATTAATCAATTATCATCACACAAGAATCTTTAGTTCGGACCTTTTTAAGGGGCCCCCCCCCCGCGGTCAAAGTCTGCGCACGCCTATGATAATAGTATGTAAGAGAACAGCAGTTCCAAGCGCACAATAAATGATGCATTTGAACAGATTGTGAATACAAGCAATTATTTTTTTTAAGAAGAAATATTATTAAAGAAGTTTAATATACTAGGTTGTTATATAACACATACTTTTTTGTTTTCCGACAATTTATTTTCATTGGTACTCATCATCGCTGGCATACTTTGTGATACCATAGAGGTTGAGGCTGTTGATGTTTCAAAAACGGTATTTCCAACATGTTCGGTTTGAGGAGATTTGTGGTTCAGCAGGAGATGTGAGTAATGTTCCTTTGTTGGCCAATACACCTCAAAATTTGTTTTTGGCTTAAAATACTTCTTGATATCATCAAGATTAGCCATTGTACAAGATTCACTTTCAACAAACTCATTCAATGTACCTTGGATTAGACAACAAAACTTGAGATAGGCCAAGTTAAATTTTTCTATTGTTATTGATGTATTCGATAATAGTTCAGTATTCCCATCAAAGAATATTAATGGAACAAATTTTTGATTATTTATATTTATGTATGGTACAATAAATCCAATACCTATTCGGATAAAACCAAATTTGTCATAAATCTTTTCTTGTTCGCTCATTAATGTCTTATAACATACTTCTAAGAATGTATACAATTCATAAACATCTTCTAACTGGATCATCAAATCTTTTCCAGTAATGAACCATATTTTTTTAAACACACAATTAGCATGGTCATAGTTGATACTATTTAATAAATTTGCTTCTACATCTGTTATGGAACAGCTTCTCAGTGATGTGCAAAATTTATAAATATCTGGATGTAAATTATCCAAGTAATTGCTCAGTAGATTCATTTCAATCATTCTAAGGGAGGAGAACTTTACATGTACACCATTTATTAAACGTATGATACACGGTATAAAAAATCTGTCAGCTAATGTCCAACAAAATCTTCCTGTATTGTACAAAAGAACATAAAATATAAAGTATCTTTGTAAGAAAATTTAAAACATAAATTAATTTATGATTATTTACCTTTGATGCTTTCAATGTCTTCTGGGTATTTAGGTATTTGTTGTTGATTCTTCTCTTTTAGTTCAATAGCCATTGATTCAATTTCAGAATTTGTCACCATCATTTATAACTGTAATAAAATTATGAAATCATGTTTCAATATTTAATTTATTTTAGATATAATGTTATTCATTTTAATTATATTGATAATTTACAGTTACGTTGACAGGTTTTTTGTGATATATACTAATTGCGGCCCAAATTTTAGTAATTAATAATTTTTGGAATATAAAATTAAATATTCTAAACTTCATTCTCTTTCCTATTTAAAAATAAAATWTACTTTACTATAGAATCAGTATTTGATAAATGTAAATAATAAAATATATTGTATGAAATATTTTTAAGTGATATTAAGTCACTGGTGTTCACTGTTCTGAGGTATTTCTATTAAATGTGTGAATTTATAATAGAATACCTAACAGTTAGTAATAGTTTGTGCAGTAGTCATTGAGTATTCTGCCTTTTATCTGACGGTTACTTAATAACAAAATGTACTAAGGCAGGCAGCCAAAAACTTAGCGGTTGTCTAAAGCAATAGATTTTTGAAGAAAGTCTAACATTTTAGACCATAAACTGGTAAGAAGTGCCTAACATTTATTTATTCTTTGAATTTTATACAATCATTAAAAATATTTTGTAATACCTTTATAAATATCTATWAATACCTAAAAATTTTTTTAAAAAACTAACGGTTTACTTGAAAAATCTCTTTTATCTATATAATATTATAATATGTACTCTAAGAAAAATTAGTCTATTATTATAAACTGTATTATAATGATCGAGAAATATTTAGTTTCCAATGATTTGGTTTTAGTTGTAATATTCTAAAGTGTGAGAATCTGGCGAATTATGTGGTAGTCACATCCAGATCATGTCAAAGTGTATGCAGTACACGCTGCACTATAAAAAAAAAAGATGATCAATATTGTGCGACAGTATAAATCCATCAATTTATAATATCATTATATTATTATCTATTATACATTTTAATGAGAAAAAACAGATATCAAAAGATGTGTGAAACTAAATTAAAATCAAAATGAACAATTTTCATTACAAAAGCCTGCTATATACACTATATACAAAATGTATTATTTTTATAAAATTTTAAAATTCAATTTATAGTTGATAATTGTTTTAAAAATAACAGTTTATGCGGCCTAACTACAAATTGTGCTCAATTATAATAATAGCAATAATCTGAGCACAGTTTGAAACTTACGATTTTTTTTTTTTATTATTTACTTACATCTCAGTTCTTTTCATTTATTACTGTTTCCATTTGTTTGACACTGAAGTTATCATTTACGGATTTTCTTGCTCGGTTTCTAACCTTGATAAACCCTTAAAAATAAATGTTTATTAAATAGGTAATAATTTTTATATTAATACAATTTCACGGAATAGTGCACAATACAATAAGACAAATACAATTTAGTACCATTGTGTTCTGTTTCATATTGCTCCACTAATTCATTTCAAGTATAATATTTAAAAAAATAAATACCAGAACGTAAAGTTTTAATGTGTAATAAATCTCACAATATGTATTTTTTCCTTTGAATTTATATAATAGTAAATTAATTACATTCATATAATTTCAATAGAAATTACGTTCCACAAAAAAAAAACCTGGTGGTTTTATATTGTCATTTTGACTAAACAAAATTGATGGAAATTTTGATAAACATGATCCACGTTATCAGGCCTAAGCTTTTCCAGAACTGAAACGTCTATCTATTTACCAGCAGCTGTGGCGATCCATAACAACGACAATTGTAACCGCGGTATCAGCGCGACAGCCGCCGCCAGCTGCGCGCGCCTCTTTAATTCAATATTGTATTATTTTGTATACTGCGCGTATTACCTCCAYGACGCGATCGTCGATCGACGAACGCGCTCACTTTTTTCGGAGTTCGGAGTGTTCGGACGTAYGTCGTCGCTACGCATCTCGCTCCTCGTTAGKTAACGCTCGAATACCATGGAAGCACTAAAAAACCATACACTTTGTTTATAGTTTTGTTATACTCGCATCTAAACGCTTTTGCACCCATCATTTTGTTTATGTTATTCTATAAAAGTGACTGAATTAATTTTTCTATTATACTCATTATTATAACGAGCTCTTAATACTTAATACTTATATACTTGTTGTTTTATTCATTATATTGGTAACCCGACTGAAACTGACCATTCGTCAACCCTACCAAATACCTAAACCCATAGGCGCAAATAGACAAATTATTTTGGGGGGGGGGACTAAAGCTCCTCCTATAATATTTTCTAAAAATTATATAATATGCTCTGTACTAATTACTGACTTTTGAACTGGGGGAACGAAGTCTCCCCGTAGCTCCACTATGAACCCTGTAAACTACAAGTTCTTTTCCATGACTTTACAAGGTATCTGTACCCAACTCCGGTATAATAACTAAGGCTGGCTCTTACTATGTCCAGTGAAGTGTCCGTTAACTTTAACCAGACATAGTAATAGCGGCCCTAAATACAATATTATTGAAAATTGATACCGAACCCAGTCGATTTATTTTTTAATAAATGCGGGAAGTACTTATTACTTATTTCAATTTATAATCCATACGTACCAGCAATTTAAAAAAAAACATAAATTATTAAAAATTAATTTCGACTGTTAATATTCTAATTATTAGGTACCTATACATTTTATAAATTTTAACATAATATAAGGAATAATTTTAGATTCAGCAGAACGCTTTACTTCAATGACTATTGATTCTATTCAACGATGTGTGTGTGTATTTTGTGTCAGTAGTGACCTTTTGGGGCAGTAAAATGATTCAATTTTATTATTTAGTAAGTAGTTAGTGTATGCTCAATACAACGAGTTTGATCAACTTTGCGATATTTAATTAACATTTMATTAATCAGAATTATTTATTAGTTTTAATAATAGTTGATGTTATTTCGGTATAATACCATAATATCTACCATTCTATCTTCTAAACATTTAAGTAGGCAGGGTTCGGCAGTATCRAAGATACAAATGTATATATTTATGTTACCGGCAAATACATAAATTAAGGAATTAATGTTAATGACTAGTCAATAACGATATTTCCGATCAAATTAGGCAGTACACGATATTAAGCGCGTTTTCGCGGAGGTACCTACCAAGAGCAGTTTACTATAACCCGTTTTGGCGATAATTTTATGTCAAAACTGTTTACTGTTTACTAAAATGTTTGGTGCTATCACTAAACGACTATTTCAAATTTCAAGTTGTTTAGTGTTTCTGGTACCTATGATCATACTTGTTATAATGCTTACTAGCACGGAGGGCTATCACTTTTAGACCAAATCGCGTTTTGCCGATGAACAAATTTGATATGCCATATCAGTAAACGATCGGCAAAGTTGAGCAAACTCTTTGCTCTCGGTATCTCCGCGAAAACGCGCTTATTGACTGGGTAATATCGTTAATGTCTGTAATTATCAGTTATTAATGATGCATTTAGAAATATTTCCTAGGTAATGAATATAACTCCGAGCTTTTTCTGGCATAATTGGTAAAAATATAATATCATTTATTTATTGGTTGGATTAGAAATGTTCTTGTGTTGTAAAATTGATTTATCGGTTTACCTGAGTATGATCAGTATGCGCTTTTCAGCTCTAATAATAACATGTCGATAGACGTACATTAGGTACCTATTAAGTAAAAGATAGCGATAACATGTATCTAGTATCCATCTATAGTAAGTACCTTCAAAGTCACGTACATTTCCCCAGCCCCACCCATATCAAATTTTCCAAATTTTCCTACGCCAATATTTAGCACGTCATTTGCATGAATTTGTACGACCGTTTCCGGAATTTGTACGGCACCGGTTTGCCCGGAAAATTCAATTTTCTACKGGTGGGGCTGGGGAAACGTTTCTCCCAATTAACCCACCCGAAAAAGCATCTTTTTCTTTTTTACATCTGTGAATGCCTACTTCTTACGAACAAACGCCAATTTTGGTTTAACAAAAT